CCACCAGGGAAACCTGGGAAGGGCTAGCCTCCCACTAGTTCGAATTAAGGGGCTAGCTAGTTCGAACTAGGCTTAATCCTCGTAAAATGAGGTTTTCCTAGTTCGAACTAAGCGCTCCGCTAGTTCGAATTAAGTGTAGCACCTATGAAAGTTAGTTCGAACTAACTCTGTAGTGTAGACATACCCTTAGATAAGTTTCTAGGGATGTTAAATATTGGTTAATTGAATAGTTGATTAACCTCATGAATTCTTATCAGATATTCAACTCTTTTTTAGTCGCTGGAGGTGGAGCCAGCAGCCACTGCACTCTGTCCCCTCTCCTGAGGTGCCTCCTGCCACTGCACGCTGCTGCCTCTATATCAGAGGCCCAGTTCTGCTGCATCTGATACAGAGGAAGGAGCGCAGGGTGGCAGCAGCCCCTGTTGTGGGTAGGAGGCGGGAGGAGCTGAGCTCCTGGACCTGGTGCAAGCTGGAACTGCGCCAGGATGCCTGCTCACCTAGCTCCTAATACACTTTAAATGTAGGTCCCAGACCCAGCGTGAGCCAGGACTGAGTCGGGCTGCTGGCCAGTCTGCTAAAAAATTTACTGTCAGCAGAGAGTGGGGGGGAAATGCATGTAGTCTATAGCATTAACCTATCTGCTTTTTCTTATCAGTTAATCGGTTACTCAACTACCCTATTACATCCCTATTCCACACCCTCATCTATTCTCAGAAAACTAGAAGAGACAGGTGTGTTGCTACCATTCTAATTTCTTAGTGTTTTATGTCCATCTTCCATGTGCTTTGCATTAGTGTAAATGACTGCTCAAGGTGCAGGGCAGTGGGGAATCAAGCCTTATGGACATAAAAGTATGTTTGCCCTAGGCAGAGATGAAAGTGATATGCTGTACTGCACCATTCTGGCAAGAAAGAGTTGGGGTGCTTGGCTGCAGGAGGAGCTGTGGTGAGCTTTCAGCCCAGCTCCTGCGGCTTTCTGCAGGCTGCTGCACTAAGCAGTTGGCAGCTAGGAAGGTGAAAGAGGCCAGCTCAAGGCACACCCCTCTCCACTGGTCTAGGATAGGGATGTGAAGGACTAGTTGACCAGTCGATAAGCAAATGCTTATTGGATAGTTGACAGGATAGTCGACTAGTTGTTTCCCCCCGCCTCTCACTGCCTTCATCGGGCTCCCTGTGGCATTTCAAAGTGGCAGCGCCCCACAGAGCCCGGGATGAGAGGGAGAGTCCCCCGCTGACCCCAGGCTCCATGGCGTTTTCACCTTTGAAGTGTAGCAACAGCCCTAAGGCTGTTGCTACACTTCAAAAACATAGGTGCCCTATTGACTAATAGGTGCATTGACTATTTGTTTAGTCGGTTAGGGTATGTCTACACATCAAAGTTAATTTGAAATAACAGCCGTTATTTCAAATTAACTTTCCTAGTGTCTACACAGGCAAACTGCTATTTCAAAATAAAATTGAAATAGTGGGGAGCTTATTCCGAGTTTGGTAAACCTCATTCTATGAGGAATAACACCAAATTCGAAATAACTAATTCGAAATAAGCGCTGTGTAGATGCTTATTTTGAAATAGGGGGCCTCCAGCCCTTCCCAGTTTCCCCTGGTGGCCACTCTGGGCCAAACCAGGAAAACTCCTCTCCTCTCCCCCAGCCCTGGAGCCCTTAAAGGGGTAGACTCTGGCCACAGTGCATGTGCCAGTTACAGGCCTGCCAGCACAGAGCCAGCAGTCACTGACCCTCACCCAGTGGCCCCAGTATGAGCCAGGCAGCCAGTGCCAGCCAGCGGTCCCCCGCCCAGTCCCCCC